TGTGGTGGGCCTCGGCAGGACTGAACCCCCCCCCCCCCGCTGCGTGATCCCCCCTCCCCGCGGGGGACGCCGACTGATTGCCGCAGGAGCAGCGCCCACCACCCTGCACGTGCGGCCACGGTCATTAGTTACACATATGGCGCAGCGAGCCACTCCCGGCGCAGGTGCGTGTTGCTGACGACAATTAGCAGCAATCACAAGTGGTGAGTGACGTCACGACTCAGTGACGTCACATCCCGCACCCGTGGGGCGCCGTCTGTCAGATAAGTGTTTGCAGATGAGACATTAGATTGGTCAAGTGTTTGGTTGCCTTTTAGACTTAGAAATTCGACACTCGACACTCATCACTACATCACTGCGAGTGTAGAGTTTACTCGACACTCATCAATTACCTACATTAATCTTAATGTTACGTTTAAAAGAAATAAGTGATGCATCTTTTCATTTCATTCTCGAAGCGTTATCATTTATTGGCTATTCTGCTAATTTCCTTACCCCTAACCCTGCAGTTGATTCCACGCCTATGCTATTATTGATTACGTTTGTTGCCTTCCTTCTCATTAATTCAGACTACCATCCTTAAAATGTTCGTATTATTTAGCGGTCCTTATTTGCATACGCACCGAGCACCTTACCCCCTCACCTGTTAAAGTTATCCCCTTCTCCACCTGCTGCAGAACTATAAAAGCACGAGAGACTGAGCTGCGTCAACTGACTCATTTTACCAAATAGCCGGAACTAATAAGCTCTACTATGTAAAAATGTTCCAAAAATGACCCGTGGGCAGGAAACGGTGCATTAATTGAAGCGGCTGAAACGCAACTAAAATTTGCGTTTAACTGCGCTAAGCTGTGTATCAGGTTTACGGTCGTGCGCTACCGCTGCCGGAGTGGCGTCACAATCGATACTTTCGCCTCCAGAAGGGCATATTACTCGGCTATTACCGCGCCGTACCCCTATTTGCTAATTGAGCGATTCGGACAACAGCGCGCGCTGGCTGGTCATTAGTATGCTCAGGTCGACTCGCCGGCGAGTGGTGCCACAATCGGAAAACAATTACAGGTGCGGAGGGCCGGCCGGCAGACAGGTGCGCCGTGTCATTGAGACTGACCCCGACGCTGACCCCAGCGGCGCCCCGGGGGCTCCGGAGGGGGTCGGCGCCCCCCCCCCGGCAGGAGGCACGCACAGCGCCCGATGACAGGGGCCGTCACCGTCCACCGACCGGCGCACGCTCATTAGCAGGCAAATCGCGCTAAATGGTCGGTAATGCACACGTTGAATTAGCGCAAATTTGCGCTGTAGGGTGCACCGCTCTGAGGATCGCCACCCCTTGCACTGTATCGATCGAAATGGAAAACATACACGGACATGGACAGCACAACATTGGTGGGCTTTAAACAAATTTCAAGAAGATGTTCTTATTTTAATAGAAATTTCAGCTCACTGAAAAGCGGTAAGTGCTGTTATGGCTTATCTTTATTAACTAGGTTGCTCTTATCATAGGTTGGTATTTTCTGGAGTCAGCTCACCCCTGAAATGGTTTGAATCCGTCCTGTGTCCTTTCCTGCTGTTCCCGTCTCGCCCCATTTCTCCTGTATAACACTGTTACTGACACGGCCGTTCGTCTCCATAACGGGCAAATACCGCCGATTAAATGGCGCTGGTTTGCGGCCGTGGTGCGCCGAATCAGCCGCGCCGTCTGAGATTAACGGCCCGTTAACGTTCGATCTCGTCGCCGCGCAGCTCGTTATTGAGACGGATGTTGTGTTTGTGTGCTGGCGACATGGCGACGAACGCTGGTTTAGGGACTGTATTCGCACAGTATTACGGCAGTGTCTTAGGACATAAAACGGAATAGAATAACAGACTCTTAGCTGACATTTGTATTCCAGCTGACTTAGCTTACCTATTATACCTATGAAATTCAATCGACTGGAAGATGAGACATAATTGCAATACTGAAAATAGTATTTTAAACATTCTGCATAAAGTGGCGTTACAGAAGGGAAACAAGGTTTGGCTAGCAATTTTGCCTTTTTATACCTACTTCTGTAGCTTCTGTAGCAAACCAGTGCATCAACAAACCGTATGCACACTGAAAAAAAAGAACACCATTCCAATTTGTTTTTGATTATTATACACTTCCTTTACACTAATTTCAATACTATTTATACACCTGTCGGCGCGAGACGTGGAGTAGAAAAATACTATGGTGCAGATCTATTACTAGTCTGGCATATTTCTGTATATACTTCGATCTATTTTAACGCCCATGACGTAGATTCAACTTCCGTTGTATTTACACCCCAATTCGAGGGCTGCTAAAACTATGCCCCAAGTGTATTTACATTCAAGTCAAATATAAACACCCATTTCGTAGTGCAAATTTGCACTTACGTTGATCTGCATGATCATTTTGACGACTTTGAAGTGTAAATGGACGACCATGTCAGTTTCAGGTCCGATTATTTAGGATAGAAATATACCTGATGATAAATTTGCTCTTAACACAATAGTTATACACGTTTGCTTGTTATTTTACCCTAGCGACGCAGCGTGCTCGAGGCACGCGCACAGTTTCCGCCATTTTCCTGTTCATTCTTGTTGAGACAGGACCTGTGAAAGCGGTGAAGGAAGAAGGCGCGGTTGTAGGATGGGACGGAGGTTCCAGGGTTGAGCCAAGAAGGACCGTAAGTTGATTTTTCTTCTTCATGTTTGAATATGACTGATGTCGTTATATATTATTTTTGTTATCATGAGCAAACAATCAGTGTTTCTCTGAGATACACCACACTGGTAAAACCAGAGTATAGGGTAAAACTGCATTTACTGTTTATTCTGGCAAAAAAAATCCAGCTGACATGGGCATTTTTGTCCATGTGGTAATGGGCCGTTTGAATGAGTGCACATTGGAAATGTAATCTAAATATTGATTATAGCTCTTTAAAGGAAATAGTTCACTTTTAACATGGGATTTTGAACTGGAATAGCAGTTTTGTATCTTGCGCTGAGACTAGCACAAATCACAAGCTTTTATGGCCAAACGATCGCCTTAAGCAAACATATTCAATTTCCCATTCCAAAAAGAGTGGCTTATGTGAGTGTCTACAGAAATGTGGCGTCTTAAAAAGGAATGCAGTCACGTCATCATCAGCCAGTCAGCATGCTGCTTACAGCCAATGCAGCTGTAAGCAGCATTGGCAGGTTTGAACTACGCAATGTGATTGGTCAACGCGTAATAAGCTTCCACGTCAAACATTATTTTTTTAAATGAAAAAAGTTTGAACTACGCAATGTGATTGGTCAATGCGTAATAAGCTTCCACGTCAAACTTCATTTTTTAAATAATATAGTTCCTTCTATATTAAAATATAGAAAATAATCATGTTTACAAAAAGGTTTTACTTTATTTTCTGATTATTTTGAGCATACAAAATCATAATTCCATAGCAAAATACTAATTTCAGGAAAGTGAACTATTTCCTTTAAAAGTGGATTCCTCAGCTCACTTTGATGTCAATCCAAATTTTCATTAATCAAAATTTAGATTACCTCCATGCACTTTTCCCAACTAAAGTGCCATGGCATCTATCTACTGGGCCCTGTTTCACCGGTGATAGCATGCTGCTATCACACGTGTCAAATTGGGTTTCCATGGAGACATCAACAAACCATGGCGTCGTCAAATTGTGTGATGTCATCAAATATTGCTGCTAGCATCTTCACGGCCGTGCGAACAAATCAAACGCATTCAACGACACTGCAACTCTGTTCCAAACGTAGCTATGGAAAAGCTCATGGATTACACGAAAAGTCATTACTGTGGCGTCACCACATTACGTCAGCTCGCGCAATTTGATAGTAGCATGCTGCTAGCACTGGTGAAACAGGGCCCTGGTTATAGGTGTACACAACTAACGGGTGTTGGAACTAACTCTGTAATGAGCTGCATTTCAATTTTTGTCCCCTCGGATCCGAGCACATGTCTGCAACAAAAACTTGTGCATATGCATCAATTCCATTCTATGAGCAAAATAAGGTATCTTGCAAACAAAACAAATGTGTGGACTGTGGAACATAAGCCTGCATAATTATTAATTGGTAACCCTAATTCATACTTAAAGGAAGGACTTGCAACTTGCTCTATATTTCCCAGCATTTACCAGCAGAAAAAAAACTATTGACTTATGTCAATGTGCAATGATAAATCTGTCTGAGTCTGGTTGATGCCTTGCTGATTAGGTAATTCCTAATACTCATATACACTGTGGGTAATTCCCTCTAAGTGTAATGAATGTTGCTACAAAGCCTGAAATACTATACATAATTGCACTATTATTGCTTCGTCATAATCTTCTAACTAATATTCCAGAGAAAATACACCCACGGCTTATAGCCCATGAACTGAAACGCTGTCATCTTGCCTAATTGCTCTGTTCAGGCTTTAATCACTAGCAACGTGAGCAAAAGTAATGGATTGTCTTGTGAAATTTTATTGCTTTTTTTGCGACTGTATGGCAGCATTATCGACAAGCGAAAATCAGCGAACATAATGTAAATGTCGCAGTTGCATCAGTTTGTAATGCAGCTCTATTCTAAACATAAATACATATTTGATGAAGGCTGTATTTATGAAATTTTAAAACGTGACCTTAAAGACCTTATTTTTTATTTTGTGAAATTTAAAATAAAAAAATTAAATGCCTTCGCTAATGAAAACAAAATATTTTCATCATTAAGTGTTGTGTGTACTGTAGATGCCACCATGAACGCCGCCATCGCCGCCATATACGGCCTTGGCCATAAACCATTATGGAGTTCAGTGCCATAAACGTTCAGTGCCGTAAACCTAACCATAAACGCATGGCAGCAACCGGTGCAACGCAGCAACATGGCAGGCATGGCCCCATATTCTAACTTTATTCTCATAAACGTCTGAAGTAGTTCCCACCCCACTAATTGTATGTTTTGGTGGCTGGTGCTCTCTTTTTATAAAACAATCGCCTACATTTTACTGTGGCTGAAGTTGGCGCAGCGGGTACGGATGTAAGTTGTGCAATCAGTCAGCTGATCAGTCGGGGAAACTGTGGTCAAATCTTCCATTTTTTGGAAGCCTTCCATTTTTGGAAGGACTTTCCACATATGGGTAGGTATGCATCTTCCAAAAATGGGTACGCTGACGACATCATTGTACCCAAATATAGAAAATATTGCGCATATGTTGGAACTTACTGATTTCCGCCGAACATGGGGCAAATGCGACTATCGCCCCTGGTGGCTCTCAATTCGCCATAGTGAAGTGTACATAATCTAGCGTGGATGTCTAAATCCTAGCGTGGATGTAATTTATGTAATTTTTCAAAGTAATGAGTCGTGGAAAATTGACAAAAATTTACCGACAAACGATGGTTTTATAAGACTTTATGAAACATTTTGTAAGGAAAAAGCATCAAATACAAAAAGTAAATATCCTTAAAAGTACTTTAGTGATGGGGCATGCCTTTTTGATACCGCTGACATTGTTTACAGTGCGGAATTGTCGTGTGCGACAGTCCGGGGAGAGTAGTGGCAAGTAAAACATGTATTTGGTGTTGTTTTCTGCATTTATTAGCATATTAGGTGGTTGATTTAACATTTTCAAGGCTTTTGCCAAACATTTGGGTGGAGGTCTCGTCATTTTTCAATGTTTTCCTCGGAATATGGGACAAATGAAATAGGCGGTGGTGCGCTGTTTTTCGTCTTGCTTTCTATCGAAGGAGCATGAATCTTCAATTTATATGAGGAATAGTAAGTTAAATTTAAACCATCCTTTGTCAGGACTATAGCTGAGATCCTCTTGGTTGGTTATTGACCAGCTGTTTTTTCTTCAGAATTACTATGTGTCCTCTGAAAGTAGAAAAAGAGAGCAGTGCACCAGGACACCATGCAATTTTGTCACTATGTTTATTGACATAGCATGCCTGTATTACCAACACTAGCACAGCTGCTTCTCCTTATGTCAATGATCATAAATGGCAAAATCAACTATTAATGTTACACATTTAAGAAGGCCGTAACTTAAATCAAAAGATGGGAATCACAGTTGGGACCACTGAGATTAGGCCTTCCAATTTTGGAAGCCTTCCATTTTTGGAAAATGCATACCCATTTATGGAAGGTCCTTTCAAAAATGAAAGGCTTCCAAAAATGGAAGATTTGACCACAGTTTCCCCCACTGTGATGGTTATCTAATATCTTGGTGTTAATCACACAAGATAATTATTTTAGATCAAGGCTTTATATTTTCAGAGAGTGAGATGATTGTGCAAGGGCGGTGGGTAAATGTCAAGATAAAGTCCTAAGAAGATTTCAAGGATAATTTTTCACAATATAGCATTATTTGACATCCTGAATCCAGAAATGATACATGTCTCCCAAGTAAAAGAATAACAATCAAACCTGACCAAACCTTACCTACTAGCCTACAACCTACAAACATACAACCTAACAAGCTACAACCTAATTACCTACAAACCTACAAACCTACAACCTACAAACCTACAACCTAACCTAACCTACAACCAGGGCTGCGGAGTCGGAGTCGGAGTCGGAGTCGGAGTCGGTCGGAGTCGACAGTTGTGACCGGAGTCGGAGTCGGAGTCGGAGTCGATTTTAGAAACCCGAGCCGGAGTCGGAGTCGGAGTCACCGAAAATCTGTCGACTCCGCAGCCCTGCTAGGTCTGCGGAGTCGGAGTCAGGAGTTGGAGTCGGTCGGAGTCGACAATTCTGCCCGGAGTCGGAGTCGGAGTCGGAGCTGGTTTTTGAAAGCCGGAGTCGGAGTCGGAGTCGGAGTCGCCGAAAATCCATCGACTCCGCAGCCCTGCCTACAACCTAAAATTTCCGCTGTTTCATATTCATATCAACAGCGCCACAATAGTAGATCTGACCTTATCTTGACAAATATCGGGCGCTGCTCGCATCAAAGTATTTTAGCCTACCTATTGGCATGTTTTAGAAAATGTTTACATTTGAAATGTTCACATATTCTCTAATTTGTTGCAGTTACGAACATTATGTACAAATGTGAGTTCTGCGCCTTCAGGCACATTGAATACAGATATTTCCTGCAACATTTGAGGTTCCATTCAAATGATGATAACTTCAAGGTTAAGTGCCTTTCGTGCCCCACAGTTTTTTCAAGTTTGGCATCGTTCAAGCGGCATATGAAGCTACACTCACATCACCCTTCCAGCTCTGCCTCTTACCAATTACACCCATCCAGCACATCAGAATCAGCATCTCCTCAGGATGCATGTCAAGAACATGATCATGCTGACATGGACCATGGGAATGAATGTCAATCAGGGGAGAAAAATATAAGAAGTGATGCTTTGGCGTCAGAGGTGAATGAACATGAAGCACGCCGCTCAGATGTTGCTAAAGCTCTTCTGCGTTTGAAAGCACAAGCCAACCTTTCTGATACAGCATGCTCTATGGTTGCTAAAGAGTTTGAAATGATCAGTAGCAACACAGCAAAAGAAGTGAGTGCTGCTTTGGGGAGTAGACCGGGTGAGGTGCTGAATGATGAACTACCCACTCTTTGTGCTTCAAGAGACTTCCAAAGTGTGTATTGCTTTTCAAAGTATTTGAAAGAGTCTGAGGGCTACTGTGAGCCTCTCCAAGTTGACCTACCATCCACATCAGGGGAACCGGCTGACAACTACCAGTACATTCCACTGAAAAATCAGCTGCAATATCTTTTGGACAAGAGGATTCTGACAGAGGCAATGCTCGAAAGAAAGAGAACAGTGAGTGAAGCCAACTCATGTGGTGTTTATGATGACATATATTCCACAGAAGCATCTGATGGAAACGAGCTGTGTATTGACTTGATGATGTATTACGACGAATTTCAGACTGGTAATGTGCTGGGTCCAGCAGCAAAGAGTGGCAAATTAGGCGCCTTCTACTTCACGCTTGGCAATTTCTTCAAGTTTGACCGGTCGAAAACGAATCATATATTTTTGGCGCTGCTATTTCAATCCAACATTCTGGATAGACATGACTTGAATGCAGTTGTTCGTCCACTGATCGATGAGATCAACGTCTTGGAACAGTCCGGAATCCAGGCAGCAGGCAAACATATCAATGTCCGGTTGCTGTTCTTTGTGAGTGACAACCTCGCTGCACATGAGCTTAGTGGGCTGGATACAAATTTTGGTAATGCCGAGCATTGTTGTCGGTTCTGTTTGGCTCCATCCTCCATTATCAAGTGGTGTTCGTCATTAAAAGAGGTCAAAGTGGCGATGGGTGACCAATTCAGACGGCTTAACAAAGTTGAGTTTGACAATGAGGTCAGTCAGCTGAGGCGCGGGGAGCCAAGCTGTTTTCGAAGGGTTGGTGCTTTAGCTGACCTACACAGCTTCAGTGTACCAGATGGCTTGCCTCCCGATGCGTGCCATGATGTTCTAGAAGGTGTTGCAAAATATGTGGTTCCTTTGGCGCTTACCACAATGTGCTTGAAAAAGAAAGTTGTTCAACTGGAGATGGTCAACGACCGTATTTCCCATTTTTCTTATGCCGACGAAGACAAAAAGGACAAGATGCACATATTTCCCTCTGCAAAGGGAAAGGTAGTTGTCAAGGCAACAGCTGCACAGATGTGGACTATGCTTCGTCTCCTCCCACTCATAATTGGGGAGATAGTGCCTCCGTGTGAAGAATGGAAAACCGTGATCATGCTCTCGCGAATAGCTGAGTACATATTTGCACCAAGACTTGACGAGTGCGACGTGACCATTCTTCAGGATATGATTGAGCGGTGGCTTGGACTTGTACAGAAGACGTACGTGGGCTTTACTCTGAAGCCGAAGTTTCATTATCTTCTACACTTCCCCGATGAAATCAGAAGACACGGTCCCCCCAGATACTACTGGACGATGCGATTCGAACAAAAGCACCAAGTCTTGAAGAACCTGTCCAAAAATAGTAAATGTAAAAAGAACATCGCCCGAACTTACGCGCTCAAACATCAACAGTACATGTCCCTCGAACAAAACGAGCCAGAATACTTGAAGCATGAGGCACCTAAAGTGACCAAAACTGTCAAAAATGACATCTGTAGTATGACAATCAGAGGTCAGTGCTACAGGACGGGCAGCGTGGTCGCCTTCAACAACGGTGAGAGCCCTGTGCTAGGAATAATTGCTGCGCTGTATGAAAACGGGTCCATAGAGCTTGAGAGGGCCGAAGTCGCGTCTTACTGCTCCCATACAAATTCGTATGAGTTGAAGAAAACTGGAAGCAAAGAGGTGCTTGCTGAAGCTTGTCTTGTGGATAGTTTTCCTCTTGCACTGTATGACTCAAGAATTGTTCTTCGCCACTTCATTGAGGGAATATCAGGTTTGTGAATCAAAATGCATTAATTTACATCCTGTATGCGAGAAGATTTTGTTTGTTCTTCAATGTAGCTTTACTGTCATAATCATGAAAAGGGAATGCTAAGCTTTTGTACATGCTCGTCGTTATTTTAATTTTATTTTCTTTCATTTCATTTTAATATATTTTATTTTTACGTCTTCCATGCTTACGCGAGCTTTCTGTGCGGCAATTTTTGCTTTCTGCCACCAGCGACGGACTGCAAGGACTGATGTTTAACCCTCGCTCGCAACGGGGCGGGGGGGGGGGGGAATGAGGTATCAATCCCGCGCTGTTTGCCTCCCTTATTGTGTGTTTGTGACTTTGTGACAAAGCTTGGTGACAAACCAAACGATTCTTTGGGATATTGCAGGTCCAAAATTGTACAACAAACACTTCTGCTGCACCCTGCAGCTCATGTGTGTAAAAGTGATAGCTACATCAGTTTAATTCACTTCACAAAGTAGGGTTTTCCTTCAGTAGTCTGTTCCAACAAATACCGTCTACTCGTATACCAATCCTAGACCTTGTAAGCTGCATTTTCCCATTGTTTTTGAATGTATCACGAAATGCGTTGGGGTAGGACACAAACAATGTCATCGACGCCCTCAACCCGTTATTGTTCCACCTGCACCACATCATAGTTTTATATATTTCTCTCATATTTCAGAACCATGAGTGCTAGCGCGTTCGTGGTGAAGCTGGGAGAAGCTTGCAAGAAAGTTCGAATCGGTGACGATTGTTTAGTCGATATTTTGAAAGTCTTTCCTGAGCTGCGACACAAGAAGTTCAAGCTGACATATTTCGACGACGAGGTGGACGACTTTGTGGACGTTGAAGACATCCGTGATGTGCCCGCCAAGTCAAAACTGGTCGTAGAGATGCTTCCTGGCAGCCCCGAAGATTCTGATACCGGCCGCGCAACGGAATCTCTCGAAGAGATAATGTAAGAGTGGCCGATTCCTTAAAATTTTTGTTGTTATCTTTTGACGGGGAGTGTACTTGCGGTGACTCGCTTCATCAATAGTGGTTTAGTAGTTTATTTTCGTAACGTATTTAGTTAATAACACTTGCATTCAACACGCAACGCAAAATGCAGAAACCTGTCATGATCGTTTACGTTTTCTTTCTTTTTCTTATTTCAAGGTTAACGGAAATGCGGCTATAGAATCAAGAATACCTTTGGTATTCTTGATCTAACCCTGACCTTGACCTTTATACAGTATATAAATATTTATAATTGGAGCACGACGATTTATTCTTGTTCCGTGATCATTGTTTACAGGAGCGCCGCTCTGGCTCAGGAGGGAGACACGACCGAACCCGTCGCCGAGCCGAGCACCAGCCAAATGTCTGAAGATGTCACCGGGCGAGCATCTGCAGTCAGCGAGACTTCAATCGTCACAGATGACACGGTGATCCTGGAAGATGAAACAAACTCGAGCGTGTAAGTAGACGTCAATCCAGCATGGTCACACTTACGACCGAATTACGATAAACGTTCCTATCATTCGGGAAAATAGATTCGCTAGATTCGTATCAAAGGAAATGGTCCACCATCGAAAAAAAGTTAAAAGCAGTGTTGCTACATTAGAAACCCTCGCCCGCAATAGAGCAATATAACCACGCAGTCGGCTCGCACGAAAGTCCCATTAATCAGCCAAGGGGGTTATTGCCATTGGCAGAGCGCGTTGAAATTGTGGGTACCTTATCTTCCTTTTGGTAACTTCCTTTGCGCAACTTTCCTTTTAAAAAATGACAGTGTTATGTCAGGTGACGTCTAGTAATGCCGTCATTCAAGGTGCAACCTCCGGACAGAAATGCGTAAAATTGCAAGCTATCGCTTGTTAACGGGGAATTACGACGACAACAACGACTGCGGAATATTTCGGATCATAAGCGACCTTATCAAGGTCAAATGAGTTCATGGCCAGGTCATTGACCTTAGTTTTCACAATTCAGGGAGAGTGCGGTCCTGCTTGTGCGTACTTAAACACCGCGCTTCTACATCTCGGGAACGGCCAGGCCAATTGCGTTAAAATTTGCTGTGCGGTTTGAGATCATGATTATAATTTCAGAAATCAATGAAGGTGTGACTGCACACGTACATGTGCACACTGCGCTTCCATATTCCAAGAACGGCTGAGGCGATTACATTCATATTTGGCGTCAATGCAAGCGTAACTGTGCCGAGAAGGCAGCTGCTGTACCATGCTATATTTTTTTTTTCGCTCGTTCGGTCAGCGCAGACAAAGGCGTCGTACTGGTACTATATTGCGCAAAATGTTTCCGTCTAATTCTGCTAGCCACTAGTAATTCCGTGGTAAAAACGAGGCGTTGGGCGAGTGCTTTTGGAGATGAGTGAAGCTTGTTTCTAATAAAAGTGAAACGTTTATGATTGAAAGTAAATCAGTAACTGATTTAGTAAATCAGTAACTGATTATCAGTTGTGTTTAGAAGCGTAAAATATGTTTCGTCAATATTCGTAGCATATTTTGTATCATGTTCTTAGCCGCAAGATATGGAGAGTAATGTTACGAATATATATTTTCAGCACCTCGGAGGTCGTCTTCGACCCCTCTACCGTCCCATCATCACTTCGTTCCAAGTTGCTTCAGAGCGGATACGAGCCTAACGATGCTGACGACAAGTCGATCATACATCTGATACACATCATCTACACAGCCAAGTCGTAGTAAGTGTTTTCATTTTTGTATATGAGCTCTTAAATTTTAACATCAGCACAGCGCCGGATTTTATGTTTTAAGTTTCTGTGGTAAAATCAGTTGCGTCGTTTTCTTATTACCGTATATGCATGCACTCGCTAAGTTTCCAAGAGCCTTTGGAAATACGAAAGGAGTAACTGCAGCCAACGTTGATTTCCAGCAATGAAGCTAACGTCATTTCGGATGAAAATCGTGTGTTTAATATCAACATTTGCCAGTATTTCGAAACACCCTGTTTGGTTTGGGAAATGTGGTTCAAGACCTATACCATGTTCCTGAACACATCGCATCTTTAATTGCAGTTTCCCGGACGCAGTCGGTTACCGGCTTCTCACTGACTCCGTCTTCCTGAGCTTCCCGAGACTGCTTGGATCGGCAGAAACACCAGAGGAGGTAAGGCAATGTCGGTTGTGTTTTGTAAAATGTACCAAGCGTTTTAACAACAAATATTTGAGTAATCCCGACAGCTTAGGTTTTTTAATTACAAATATAGTCATAACCTTTTGAATGGGCGGATTGACGAAGCCAGAGCAAGCGCTAAGCAGAGCTTGTTGCGCGGGTCCTGACCTCTACCGTCCGATCGGGAAATTCCGGGTAATATGCAAAATTTAGAAACCAAACTTCAACGTGGTCACAAAGGCGGATACCCACTCACTGACTTCGACATCTGGCTGCGGCTGCTGCTATCAACCGCCGACCATCCCCGTCAGGAAGCCAGCTGACTCTACCATCTGAGCTACGGACGGGCAAAAGGTTACCGCTGATGGAAAAAAGTCACTCCCTTTTAACTAGAGAGATAAGACTTACCTCCTTTTGGTGATTTTTTTTTTATTTTAATAGTGTGCTATGGTCAATTTCCATACAAGCCTCATGTAGGGCTCATGTAGCCCCCCCCTCGGCTCATGTAGCCCCCCCCCATGTAGCCCCCCTCCCCCTCGGCGGATTAAATGTGCCGTGACCCGGAATTGGAGTCACGGTACATTGAATAATGTGTTTTGGAGGGCAATTTTTTATCGCTATAATTTTTCATCCTATTTTTTTCTATAAAGTAAGTTCAGTTAGTTCAAAGTTTGTTTAATTCAATGTTAGTTGAATTTGTTTATTGAGTTTTATAGCTTCATCTGACTTAAGAGTTGAGATAATTTTTTTCAAGGTCGATATTGTGTTTTTTTTTTCCTTTTTTTCCTCAAAAGTTAGATGTTTCTTTAGATCAATATAGAAATTGTGTGACATATTGATGAGAATGAGGTAACGTAAATTATTGTCCTTCATTCAGGTGTACGTGCGCAAACAGAAGTTTAAGGCAAAACTCAAGAACCGGTTTAAAAACTGCCGGAGGAGTGTCGACAACCCAGTCATCACTCAGGAGCGGGAGGTCCGTGGAATCCATAAGAGGAAGCGCCCCATGGAAGGCATGCCCGGCATGTGTCCGCCTTATAAGAGGTCGAAATTCGAGGCCGCTCAAGAAGCGGCGAGGTACAGCCACCTGCTCCTGCACGCTGATGATGAAAGTGCCAAGAAGGGCGTGTTGAAAGAGTCATTCGCTCTGAGGAGACACCTCATGACAAGGCAGCATGGGCGGAAGACGCCCAAGCAGATGAAGGAGATGTTCCCTGCCATGTTCACTGAGAGCGCTGTAAGTATATGCGAATGAATGAAAATCAGACGAAACCGTAAAAAAAAAACAAGCTAATTATGAAAAAAGCGTCTCATTCAGGTCTCATTCAAATAACAAAACGTTTCAACAGCACTGTGGTGTGATTCCGTTGCCTTGAATTGTTTTTGTTCTGTTCTGACTGCTAAACTTTCTTATGTCACGCTTTTCTCTGTCTTTCTTTCGTGTAGCGGTTAGCGACGAATCACTTCCCTTATGAGGCGTAGTAGAGCTGTCTGTCGCTCGACCGTCCAAACCTTTGTGTGTATGTCTTGCTCCTAACCTTGACATGTGCTTAGAATATAACATCATCAGCCAAACTATGTAAGCGTGGTCTGAATGTGCCATGCATATTAAGGGATTTTGTCTCCACCCTTTCCAGCTGTGGAGCGACTTGGGTTTGATAATGGGGGATGAGGATGGCGACGAGCTGAAATCCAAGGTGACTGCCAAGGCCATGAACGTGTGCAAAGAGTACGCCGCTCGCGTCGTGGCGGGGACGGCGCAACCACCTGAAGGTGAGTTTCCAACTATTTCACGAGTCACGACCACAGTGTCATTCTATCTCATATAGACTAGGCCTTATATGCATAATATCTGGATCTAATAGCATAAATTGAAATCGTGGGATTTCAAATCGCGGAATCTTTTTAAAGGAAACCAACGGCCTACGTGAAAAATATCATTTGCTGTCATTTAGTTTGACATAACAGCTTTATCGTGCTGTCTGGACTGCTAATATTTTTGCCAAGTTTATATAGTTCATTTTTTTAAGTTTGCCCTTCACTGTAAACGTCTTTTTGAACACAGCACGAGAATTGCTAGCTGAATTACTGAGAAAACTGGTTGGTGCACATTGATTTGACCAGATTTCACAGCGATCAATTTCATCAAATTTATTTACTATTTCACAGATTCGTAGCTCGTATTTGCCAATACCTACAGCCCCACAGGGATGGACGACTTCTCAGGAATTATGTCTGAACTAATTAATAAATTGCACGGCGTTTAACATAACGTTGCAGCGTCGGTGGTCAAAACTTATTTTGAAAATATTATTAATATCCTTGTTCATATCTAATACAATGTGCGCTTACCAGTTTTCTCAGTAATTCAGCTAGCAATTGTGCTGTGTTCAAAGAGACGTTTACAGTGAGGGGCAAACTAAAAAAAAAAACGAACTATAGTTAGATTTTTAAAACCAGTAAAACGCCTTTTGGGCGAAGAACGAGCGAGCGAGATAGTGAGCCCTGCACGTGTGGAAGGGCGAGGGGGTACTTCCAACGGGCTTGTGCAAAGCACCCTTCAAACCGGTCGTTGGCGGTGTGCCAAATTTGAACGTAATCGGCCCAGCCGTTCCTGAGATCTGGAAGCGGCATTCTGCACGTGCGTACGTGCAAACAGGGTCCAAACTGACTTTTGCACGGCACCCTACTAACCGGTCCCCAACCGTGTACCAAATTTGAGCGCAATCGGCCCAGCCGTTCTCGAGATCGGGAAGCGTGCGCACGTGCAGTAGCACCCTAACCGCAACACATGAGAATGTATTGCCTGGTGGGTGCCTACCTGTACGCCAAGTTTCAGCGAAATCGCCCCAGTAATTACCGAGTTATTGAAATGGGAACAAATTTGGCACCTCTTCTTTTGGCATTTAGCACGTGCAGTGGGGGGTCACTCACATAGATCAAGAGTATCCGATCTTTGGTAGAAGGGATGCAGCTACCCTACAAAAATTACAGCAAGACAATCACAAACTCACAAAATTGCAGCTGTACGGAATTGATATCAATTCAGTTGGGGAAACTACGAGGCGAATGTCAAAAAATTGATTGGTCAATAAATGGACTTTTGATGACCATATATGGGCATAAATGCAGCCCCCGCTACTAAAGGTGAAAAACGGTATAACAAGCCGGTACTTTCGGTATCGCGTCCACTTATTGGAGAGAAAATGCTTCCATTTTTCACTAGGAATTAGCGTGATTTGATTATATTCGGCGAATTGACTCGAAAATGGCGATAGGAAAACAGCTTTTCTGCAGGTTCTGGGCGTCACAATCAGCTGGCCATTCAATGAATGGATTGGTTTTATGAAAGAAAATTGTTTAAAGATTTAATTTAACTACAATAAACAAAAATATTTAATTCTAAAATAATAACTTAACCACAATTAGAAAAACCATAAACAAAATAATAAAAATAATGACATTTTTAAACAACGGTACTGCTTAAATTTTTTGGCGCGTCTGTTTCAATCCGCCATATTTGCCAATCACGGTTTGACCTTGCGTTGTATAGTCCGTTTTTTCTAAGTTCGACCCTCACTGTAAACATCTTTTTGAACATAGCACGAGAATTGCTAGCTGAATTACTAAGAAAACTGGTTAGCGCACATTGTACTGCAGACATGAATAATATTTTCCAAATAAGTTTTAAAAACCGATGATATACCGTTCTGTTAAACGCCGTACGATCTATTGATCAGTTCAGTTATAATTTCTGACAAGATGTCTATCCCTGTGGGGTTGTATATAAAGGCAACTACGAGCTAGGAGTCTGGGAAATAAGAGCCAGGAAGAAATAATTTTGAGTAAAATTAATCGTCTGTGAAATCAATGTGCACCAGCCAGTTTTCTAAGTAATTCAGCTAGCAATTCTCGTGTTGTGTTCAAAGAGACGATTACAGTGAGGGTCGAACTTAAGAAAAACGAACTATAACTCTGCGATTTAGAGCCGCCAGTTAATTATGCACCGGGTGAGTGTAGGTCTTGTGTGGTTAAAAAACATTCTTATGCCTTATTTTTTCATTTGAATGCTAAAATTCATTGAAAAGATGAAGTTGTCTGATTTTATGACCATATATGGTCATCGCCCCGCCCACTCCAGCCGCTGATTGGCTAATCCAATTTTTGTTTGGCTCCTCGTAGTTTCCCCAACTGAATTGGTTTGCTTCTTATCCAGGCCCATGTCACTCCACTTTTGATGACATCATAAGGGGGCCTCAGGACAATAATGGCGCGGCGCGCCACAATCCCTTCAAAGCTACTTGCCAACAGTTGCCATTTTTGAAAATATTATTTTGAAATAAAGTTCCAAGTAATAAAAATATTGTAATAAAGTTGTTTAATAAATCGATACCATATCTAAAAACTTACTGAAAAATGATTTATTCATAGTAAAAATATAAGCTCGATGCGTTTTTACGTTGCTTTCCTGCAACTGCAGAGGGTTTTTAAATCGTCTATATCTTCAAAACCGGCCATTTCTTAGCATATTGCTGCTCTTTTTTATCGTTAGAAAATTAGTTGAACTTTCTAATGACATCAATTTTTGAGCGATATGTCTTGAGTGTCACCAACAATCTTTAAATGAAGTTAGTCATTTTTACGTTGTAAAGGAATGGAGTACCCCTTTTGAGCATCAGGGATGACGTCACTCAGGATCTGTCTCTGATTGGTCGGCGGGGGAGTGACTGTACCTTCTATAGATGGCCTTGTTCTTATCTTCGGAACCACACACAGAGTGTCAGCCTCACTGACACTATGGGGAACACCAAAAAATCAGCTCCACTTTCCAACAACATCGGTGTTTCCAAGGATCCTGTCTCGGCCCCCTGCTCTACTGCGTCTTCGCCAACGACCTCAGCTTGTTCGCCGAGGACGCAGTAGTGGTACAGTACGCTGATGACACCCAAATTTTGGTTAGTGGCAAAAGTACAGAATTCTCTAACGTAATACAGAAGATGGAAAACACATTGGCCTCACTTGACAGATGGTTTCGTACTAACGGCTTGAAAGTAAACGCTGAAAAACTCAACTGATGTTGCTGGGAAGCAGCCAAAATTTGCGCAATGTCCCAAGTTTTACGGTAAAATTCCGCGATCACAACATTTCACCTATTTCGGAAGCAAAGAACCTCGGCCTCATGTTTGATCGCACGCTGAGATGGGACACTCATGTTGCATCAGTCATACGACGCTGTTTCGGCATACTCAGTGGTCTGTCACATCTAAGGAGCCGCCTGCCATCGTCCGTCCTCTCCGTGCTGGTCAACGCTCTGGTCCTCCCGCAGGTCCGTTACTGTATCACGGTGTATGGCAACGGCTCAAAGAAGAACTTTGCCAAAATTCAGAAAGTTATAAATTATGGGGCAAAAATGATTTTCGGCCGCAAAAAGCATGATCATGTATCGCACCTGCTTGAGGAGCTGGGTTGGCTCAGCGCGGAGAAGCTGGCATCTTATCACACTCTCTGTCTCGTATAAAGGTGCGCAATCACGACGAGCCCCAAGCTTTAGCCGAGGGCTTGGTTACTGTGGCAAATAGGCGCGAAGCCTTGGGGACACTGACCAGGACGACTCGCCAGGACCGCGACCTCTATGTGCCCCGGTCACGTACCGAAATGGGGAAGAGGCGCTTCTGTTGTCGCGGTCCTGCTCTCTTCAACTCACTACCATCGATACTGACTGAGCTACCTGTGACCGTGTTCCCTCACCACCTCAAACGTTACCTATCTGAACCACCGGACTAGTGTTTACTTTTTATACCGTACTCTGACGTTTTATCGATTTGACCCATTCACCTGTGTGCGTGTATGTTCCACCCCATACTTTTTATGACTTTGTATCTTTAACAGCTTGAACACCCTTGACTTTTCACGTGGCACGTGCCACGACGGTCGGCCTGAAATGTATCAAGAGTAGTCAATTACGGGGTATAGTTCGCTTATTTTAAGTTTGCCCCTCATTGTAAACATCTTTTTTAACACAGCACGATAATTGCTGGCTGAATTACTGAGAAAACTGGTTGATGCACATTGATTTAACAGACGATGAAATCTACTAAAGTTTTCTATCTGCCGCCTATTTCCCAGACTCGTAGATCGTATTTGCCCTTATTTACACCCCCCAGGGATAGACGAATTCTCACGAATTATAACTGAACTAATTAATAAATCACACGGCGTGTGACATAACGGTACATCACCGATGTTCAAAGCTTATTTTGAAATTTTTACTCGCATCTCCAATACAATGTGCGCCAGCCAGTTTTCTCAGTAAAGGCCTGGCTACACTATGCGTTTTCTTCGTGCGTTTTTTGCGTGTTTGCGTGTTTTGCGTGATATCGTTCTAGAAAAAAGAACGATATTACGTTTTTGTGATGTTTTTCACCTTAAATTTTAGTTACATAAGAGTTATATTAGCTTTTGTATATAACCAAAGTAAAAACTATATTGTTTTATAACTTTTTTTCCTAGAACGATATTACGCAAAACACGCAAACCTGCAAAAACGCACGCAGAAAACGCATAGTGTAGCCAGGCCTTAATTCTGCCAGTAATTCTCGCGCCTTGTTCAAAAAGATTTTTATACAGTCAGGAGCAAACTTAAAATAAACGGACTTTAGAAGGAATGGGACTACCGAACAAAAAAGACCGCAGGCCAATCGGTCCAGCGGTTCCTGAGATATAAGCCTCTCAAAAGCGTTACAGGCCGGGTCGGGCCGCTCATACTGAGATTTTTCCGTTATATTGAAAAGACATCGCTTTGCTCGCTGCGCTCGCTCGCTCGCTCGCTCGTAATAACACAAAATATAGAGTCGAGTATTACAGTAAAACCCCTAGGATTTTTGAAGGTGAACTATTTATTACCCGTCAATTATCATTCACCTGACAGTCCATGATAGTTAATGCATAGAAAAGGGCAGGATTAAAAGCACGGGATATTATAGACTCGTAAATATTTTAAAATATTTAAGGAAATCCCACGAAAAGTTGTCTTAATGTCTTCAAATTTTGCCAGGAGACGAACTTGTGACAATGCTGGCGCATGGATGCGGCACAACTATGTCAGAGCTGGAGGACTGCCGAAACTCGGCACGGCTCCAACCAACAACGGGACGGCTGGAGACCCAGGACACGGAATGGGACGTAACACCAGAGTCCCGAGTCGCCGCTGTGGTGATTATGGCCGCGGTCCACGCAGTGCTGTACATACCTTTCGGTGGTCCATGTAAGACGCTGTTCGAAGTCTTGTATAACAAGGCACTGGGGTTCTGTGTGTCCCTGGGCGCATCCGCCAAGAAGGTGGTGAATGCAATGAATGTGGGTGGTGTGACCTCCGAGTAGCGTTTCTGCAGGGAGGGGAGGCGCATTGCCACCATGTGTGGGTGGTGTGACCTCCGAGTAGCGTTTCTGCAGGGAGGGGAGGCGCATTGCCACCATGCAGCTATGGCCCAACCTGCTTGAAGAAGTGGTATTAGTTCAAGTTCAAGTTGTATTCAAGTCGCATTAGTAGTGCGAGCACGTTGAAAGTGTTCTTTGAGCCCAGAGTGACCTGATGACAAAGCTGTGATTTTCGACTGTGATTTGTACTAGCTGGCGTATGTTAGTCATATAGCATAAGCTTCATATCATAATCATAAAATAAACGTTCCATTTATATCACTGGTTCATTTTTAGCTGGTGTGATGACATCCACAAAACGTTCTATATAAGCTTATCGAGGGATATAGTGTCCCTTCATTTTACACGAAATCGATATACGTTATACAGTTTTATGTGTGATAACTGACGTTGGCACGACGGAAAGGGAAAAGGAGCAGTATATCAGATTTTCACAGGTTGACATCTATAATTACGCCAGGGATATTTACGTGGGGTATTTAAATACGCCGGTTGACACATTTACCCGGTAGCGTTTTTACTCTTTGCTACTTGAGTTCTAAAATTACTCACGCTTAGAAAACTTTTGTATGCGAATTATAACGTATAATTTTTTCATCGCTTTACCTTGATTTTACACTTTCGAGTTTTTGCATAGCTACTGTTTTTGCACCACGAGTCACGGAGTAGAATCGGGTTTTGCTAAAACTACACTGTGGTGTAAAACTACTCTCACAAAGTCCATGCTTTTTTTCTGTTTACACCCCTTGTCAGGGGTGTAAAATGAATTGATTTGGGGTGGAGATTTGTGTACCGTACTTTTATTCCGCAACGGGTGTAGTTCTAAGCTTACGAGGATACATTGCGTACTACCGGGTGGTAGAATTAATCTCCATTTGTCCGTGCAAACATCTTTTACTCTGGCATAAAATGAAGTTAAAAGGGGTGGAGATTTGTGTACCGTAATTATATTCCAATTTCAGGTGTACTTTTTCTTTCAGTGCACTGGTTTGTGCCGTGTGTGATATATAAACCTTGAAAACGCGCCTAACTGCCTCGGACATGATTTTTTTTTTTTTTGCTCAAATGGTCGGAAAAGTCTAATTTAAAAGATGGGGTCAAAATTTTACAAGCATCATGAACTATGGCTCACACCAGATCTTTTGGCACCAAAAAAATTATCAGTTCAGGACACTATGATACCCAATACCCAAATCGCTTCTCTGCGACACTTCTATCTTTTGTAGGTATTTTACCAAAAACCCAACCGTGACCTTAAAATCTTTGATATGACCATAAGAGGCCACCGACCGACCGACTCAACATCTTAAAATTGGATATCAGTCACAGCGTCTTGTAACTACAGACACTAAGTATTCCCCCCCCCCCCCCGCTGAACTGAAGCCCGACAAGAGGCGAGACGGCAAGGGAGACGTGTTCGTCCTGGCCTCGGTCAGCTCAGGTACGGTGAAGGTGCCTATCTGCCTATTTTAAAAGTCAGTAGGTTTGGAGAAATTTGAATAACGTACGGTGGATTCTTTTACAGTTATGAAACAGATTGGTGAGAATCAAATCAAGTGTGCTAAACAGTGAAAACAGCGCGGAGCAGGTACGAGTGCTTATCGCACTTTTTTTAAAGAACACTGGAGAGGCGTAAAATGCCTCGGGGCCTGAGGGTTGATACCTACTGCAAGAAAAATAGTCCAAGAACGAAAGGAATATATTTGTACAGTGCAAGAGTAGGTTAGGTACACAGTTGGCACAAGATTTCAAATGAAATTGCAAACCTTCTTCTCCGTTTTAACAAACAGTAGTTCAACACTAAAGAACTAGGTAGGTACGAAATGCACCCAGCGAACACCAAACGCCGACTATTCTCTTTCTCCCGTGCGCACAGCCGCTGGCTTCTCGAATTGAAATGCTGGAAACTCTAGATTTCCGGCGCTCTACATAGATTTGAGTCATCATTTAGGAGGCAGACGACTCGTGTCTCCTCACGGCGCGCAGACCACGAGCAATGGACACCGGACAGCTCCTTGGACTACACTCGCGCAGCTGGCGACATCTGTCATGCCACAAAGGTGCTGCTGTCTTATAGTTTTGCTAGATGGCAGCAGCATACAGTGTCTTTGCATTTCGGAGACCTCTGAGGCACGATGACCGTCTCGGTCTTTGTGTCATAAAATGACAGTTGATTTGAATAAAACTACAGCAGTAGAGTGAAGAGCGATAGTACCTCTAGATGTGTCAATCTGGTCAGCTCCAGTATCTGCCCAGCAGTCGCCAGGCGGATTCATAAGTCATGAAAATAATCGACGGGCACTGGGCAGCCTAAGATCCGTTGCCCATTGGCCATTTTCCCATGATTCTGGAGACAGAATGTTGAAAACTAGACGTGCATATGGATGATGGTCCCCTCGAGTCCCCTGCTTCTACCGATGTGGACAAAATCATCAGTGACTGGAGAGTCGAGTCCCAATGTTCAGCTTTTCAATTACTGTGACGGTAAGTAGAGGCAAAGTAGAGGAGTCAGTAGAAAATTCCTTCAGAAGTTTGGCAGCTCTGCCTCCGTCATCAAACTTGGCATCTGTACACGCCGACAATCGAGACGCAGATTTCTGCCCGATTGCCGCCGTTCCCTAAAGCATCCTTCGCGCCGGCACTTTGTCGCCGTCGGGGTGCCTTGTGCCTACCTAAATTGTAGGCAAAATTATTATTTCTAGTCTGAACTTAGCGCTTTCATTTACAACTAGTGGCTGGGTAAGTCGGTAAATTACAACAATTTTTTACATGCATGCTTTGTTACACCGTATTGCTGTTGGTTGTGGCTGAACCGGTGTGCTTGTGCCTCACTGTCACCCTAAAACAGTTCCTATCCATGCTTATCTTTGTTTAAAAACAATATTGTATAATATTCAGATGTTTTCAGTTATTTTCTGCATTGTTTTAATTGTGAGGCTAATGTTCTTACTGAAAAAGAATGCGTAACTTAGTGCTAACTGATGGCAATGTCGGCTTGGCCTGACAGCCTGGTTGCTGTTGCAGGCAATCATCTAAAAGTAACATTGAGGAAATTAAGAAACTCAAATCAACATGTAATAATATGATTTAGCTATGTTAGTGTTTGTTTTTGCCATTCAGGCTTCTCCAAAGTTAGGCTGTTGAAAGAATTGATAAGTTGTATTTTTATTTTCCTGAGTAAGTAACATGAAAAATGGTTTAAAATGTTTTTATGCTAGTGTCAATTTGTTCAAAATGTGTTAATGGTCAAAGTCCTGATCCTCTGTTAGGTAATTCAATTGCCACATGTTGAAACATTTTTATTTTGTTAAAAGCATCAGATAGAAACATTTCTTTTCAAAGCAAAAAAGTTCCTGCTGCTGCTGAAAACATTTGAAATTTGTTCTTCATTAGCATTATATGTTCTTTATTTTTAAGAAGTGAGGTTAACCTATTTGTTAGCTTGCAATATACCTACATTTTTATTGCATTTTTATGGTACAATTTTCATCCAGTATACAACTTTTAAAGATAAATAAATGTGAAGTTTAGTGGCCTTGTATACAGTAGGTACTTTGTGTAAGCATAAAATCTGACATACAGCTGTGTGACATTCTGCTGCTCCGAATATTCTTTTTTTTTAACAAACATCCAATCTTTCTGACATTTGTGCTTTCGCATTAATTGAGTAAACATGCCATGCTCTTGACATGTTACATTAGCCTGTTTACATTCCCATACTCCATGACCCATTTGCCACACTGCACTGTTCTTGTGTTGATCAATGCAAGTCTGGTCCATGCTGATTCAGCATGGAGTGTTTACTGTTCAGGCAAGCTGACCATTTTAGTGCTGACTGCAGTCACTACCCACCAAAACCCAACTCCTGCTCAGCTCCACCTATCCTACCATGTTGGTGCACCACTGGCCCCTACAATTGCTGCTGACATAGATTGACCCCTGACACTACCAGTCCCACCCAACTGATCTCATGAACAGCCCCTTACTGATCCCACCAACCACCTGCTGATCCCTGTCGATCCTTTCTGACCTTTAGCTTTCTGACTGCTTTCTTACCCCAATAACCCTCGCTGACCCCCTACTGACCCCTTCTGAGTTCTGACACCACTGGCCCCCTATCACAGCGCCATGGACGGCCTGACGCTGCTGACCCCACTGACCCGCTACTGACCCCCTACTGACCCCCTATCACAGCGCCATGGACGGCCTGACGCTGCTGATCGCCGCTGGCGTCATCGTCGTGCTGGGAGCCATGGTCTACCTGATCTCGGTGACCGGCGTCAAGGAGAAGAGCTATGACGAGGCCATGGCCGAACAGCGCCGCGCCATTCAGGAGAGCAAGGTTCGTGACGGCGTATATTGCTACGCTAGGTAGAGGGAACATACTAGGGAAGCTTGGAGGGAGTTTTAGAGGAATGAGGATGCTATATGAAATCAGGAATTTGGGTGAGTGAAAGACTATGTCAAGATATGTGACTAGAAGGCTGCCAGGTTAGTGGGAATGAAGGGCTGCTGAAAGGATTGTTTCGTGCACCTTTTTGTGGATCCGTTTTCCATCAGTGAAACTTTTCCCGGACAGCCGTGACATTTACTCTAGGATGTGGCTGTTTTTTTGTCGGTGTGGCCCGCGGTGCCTACCGCCCGGCTCGACCCGAGGGGGCGGGGCGGCGCCTGTGAAAGGTCGCGTCCGACCGCCACCCTCCCTTCCCTGATGTGTCAGTCACACCGTGCCGCACTACCTCCAGGATCGCCAGGCCGCGCTGAAGAAGGAGACCCGACCGAAGCGACACTACCAGAATCGGCGCCGCAAGGACAAGTCGGCCGCCGCCGCCGGAGATGACAAGAAGCACAGCGAGGACGAACAGGTGGGTACGAGATCGACGGAATTAATGGACGAGCTGTGTGTCCGTTGCCGGCGGGAATCATGGGCGAGATGGGAGGGTCAGTGAGATCTGTCTAATGGTGGGTTTGGCCCATTCTTTTTGTGAGTCGAATCCGTGGTAGGAACTCTAATGTTAATTGCTTTGAACTTTGTTCACACCGTAAGTGAATTTCGTTTATCGTGGGATGTCATGCATGCTGGCATTTGTGGAAAGTGACTGCAAGGAAGTACGGAATGTTTGAATGTAAGGAAGAATGAATGTGTGATATTCAGTCGCCTGACGACATGTTACATTCTTCATAGTAATGATGGACAACAAAATATCATGGAACTTGCATACCGATGCAGAATAATAACAGCTAGATTTACTGGCTTTGCC